TGTCTGTCTCTCTGTCTGTCTATCTATCTGTCTATCTATCTGTCTGTCTATCTATCTCTCTGTCTGTCTCTCTGTCTGTCTTTGAAATATCTTGGAGTACCACAAATACCATGGTAAATGAAAAGAAAATGCTTTATTGGCCTGGTATGATTACATAGAATTAAATTATGCTTACATTTGAATTAAATGGTAATCATTCAGTACCATAATGTATCTCAAAGCACGGTGTATCCTGATACCATGTTTTTTTTTTTTTTGTGCGTAGGGCCATGCCTTTCCAAAACAACCATAACAGACTCACGTACAGTAGGTAATAAGCTGTGAGATACGTAATTAATTTCTTTCCCTAAACCATCCATCCCGTCTTTCTCTCTTCCTCTCTCTCTCAAACACACATTACTCTCTGTTTTGGTTTTCTGGGTGGTCCTCAGCGGAGTTTATAAGCGTCGCTGCTCTTTCATTCTCGCATCTAAACCCCGCCCACATCACACCCCCAGCCAGCCGCTTGCCGTTTCCTCAGGGCTGATAGGGCATCATGAGGAAGTGCCAGGGACCCGTGGGTGGACTGTGGTTGGGCTGCTGTCTGTGGTTTGTTTGGGAAATGATTTTCACACCCTGAAATGAAAGTCACACCCTGAGCTCACAGTCACGATCAGCATTACTGTCTGTTACTGATGTTGTCATTACCTCTGATGAGTCACATCTTGTCGGGGCAGGTGAAAGTTTAATTAGAGGTTTTAGTTGTTAGACACAGTGTGTGGGTTGTTGCTATTGTCTGTGTTTGTTTGTCTGTGTAGGTTAGCCGGGGGTTAACGTTGCATTTAGGTGTTTTAAAAAGTGAGCATTCATAAACTGTGCTGGATGTAAACTATTCTGTGTACTTTAAAATCTACTACTTCCATTAAGTAGTAATTTTAGCGTTAAAATACACTGACTTTATCTGATGTGCTTACTTTTGATATAGGTTTTTTATTATGTTCCCTAGCAACAGTCTGTCACATCCCAAAATTTCTTAATTACTATACTTTTATGTTCTTCTCCCTTTAGTTCATGGATCATCCCTCTCACTGGTGTCCAGCACCTCTTCTGTCTATTCAACGGTGAGTTTTTTGTGTGTGTGTGTGTTTTAAATTTTTATTTTTACTTTCTAACTTACTTTGTTTCGTACAAACTCTTCCATAATAAACAAACATTTATTAAAAATCCAAATCATATAATCGGAACACCAAATTGTTGTACAGTTAACATGGGATAGATAGATAGATAGATAGATTTCAGTGATTAGGTTTCAGCCAGTGATTATATAGGAAAATTGATAAATTGGAATGTGCCACACCTCCAGATGGGCGGCTCTACTTACCTGCAGAGGTGTTTTAACAACAGTCTCACTCTGGCACACGTGCAGTGAGTCTTCAGTTCAAATGAGGTTGACTTCAGGAAGAGAGGAGGTAGTTGGTTACATACTTAGGTAGTAGAGATTTGTTTAGAAAGGATCAGATTTACTGAAGTATAAAGAGTGGAAAATCATGATGATGGCGACTCTTTCTATGGGGAGAGCTGTGACTTCTTGGGGATACACGGTAGGAATCTTCGTTTTTAGATTGCTCCTATTCTATATTTATATATTTATGTGACATATTATTACAATTCATTCATTCTTAGTTATGTACCAGTAAATCAAATCTGTAGTGACTTGAAAAGTGTATCTTGTTGGACTTAACTAAGCAGAGAATTGACTCTACAGTCTGTCTGAAGTTATTTGTCTGAAGTTGGAGGCTGTAAAGTGGGTTTGTTTGTGTATGTGGGAAACAGCTGTCATGCAGAAACATAAGGTCTCTTAGACACAAACATGAAATACTCTGTGGTGCTTTTAAAAGTACAGGTTCATTCTGTACAACAGAGTACTGAACGTTCATCAAAAGCCAGATATAATAGCATGGTAATCTTTGGTCTCAGAGACAACAAAAGCTCAGAGCTTTGTTTGAAATCTCTGAGCTTTTGTTGTCTCTGAGACCAAAGATTACCATGCTATTATATCTGGCTTTTGATGAACGTTCAGTACTCTGTTGTACAGAATGAACCTGTACTTTTAAAAGCACCACAGAGTATTTCATGTTTGTGTCTAAGAGACCTTATGTTTCTGCATGACAGCTGTTTCCCACATACACAAACAAACCCACTTTACAGCCTCCAACTTCAGACAAATAACTTCAGACAGACTGTAGAGTCAATTCTCTGCTTAGTTAAGTCCAACAAGATACACTTTTCAAGTCACTACAGATTTGATTTACTGGTACATAACTAAGAATGAATGAATTGTAATAATATGTCACATAAATATATAAATATAGAATAGGAGCAATCTAAAAACGAAGATTCCTACCGTGTATCCCCAAGAAGTCACAGCTCTCCCCATAGAAAGAGTCGCCATCATCATGATTTTCCACTCTTTATACTTCAGTAAATCTGATCCTTTCTAAACAAATCTCTACTACCTAAGTATGTAACCAACTACCTCCTCTCTTCCTGAAGTCAACCTCATTTGAACTGAAGACTCACTGCACGTGTGCCAGAGTGAGACTGTTGTTAAAACACCTCTGCAGGTAAGTAGAGCCGCCCATCTGGAGGTGTGGCACATTCCAATTTATCAATTTTCCTATATAATCACTGGCTGAAACCTAATCACTGAAATCTATCTATCTATCTATCCCATGTTAACTGTACAACAATTTGGTGTTCCGATTATATGATTTGGATTTTTAATAAATGTTTGTTTATTATGGAAGAGTTTGTACGAAACAAAGTAAGTTAGAAAGTAAAAATAAAAATTTAAAACACACACACACACAAAAAACTCACCGTTGAATAGACAGAAGAGGTGCTGGACACCAGTGAGAGGGATGATCCATGAACTAAAGGGAGAATAACATAAAAGTATAGTAATTAAGAAATTTTGGGATGTGACAGACTGTTGCTAGGGAACATAATAAAAAACCTATATCAAAAGTAAGCACATCAGATAAAGTCAGTGTATTTTAACGCTAAAATTACTACTTAATGGAAGTAGTCGATTTTAAAGTACACAGAATAGTTTACACTCTGCAGGTAAGTAGAGCCGCAGGTGTGGAGGTGTGGCACATTCCAATTTATCAATTTTCCTATATAATCACTGGCTGAAACCTAATCACTGAAATCTATCTATCTATCTATCTATCCCATGTTAACTGTACAACAATTTGGTGTTCCGATTATATGATTTGGATTTTTAATAAATGTTTATGTTTATTATGGAAGAGTTTGTACGAAACAAAGTAAGTTAGAAAGTAAAAATAAAAATTTAAAACACACACACACACAAAAAACTCACCGTTGAATAGACAGAAGAGGTGCTGGACACCAGTGAGAGGGATGATCCATGAACTAAAGGGAGAAGAACATAAAAGTATAGTAATTAAGAAATTTTGGGATGTGACAGACTGTTGCTAGGGAACATAATAAAAAACCTATATCAAAAGTAAGCACATCAGATAAAGTCAGTGTATTTTAACGCTAAAATTACTACTTAATGGAAGTAGTAGATTTTAAAGTACACAGAATAGTTTACATCCAGCACAGTTTATGAATGCTCACTTTTTAAAACACCTAAATGCAACGTTAACCCCCGGCTAACCTACACAGACAAACAAACACAGACAATAGCAACAACCCACACACTGTGTCTAACAACTAAAACCTCTAATTAAACTTTCACCTGCCCCGACAAGATGTGACTCATCAGAGGTAATGACAACATCAGTAACAGACAGTAATGCTGATCGTGACTGTGAGCTCAGGGTGTGACTTTCATTTCAGGGTGTGAAAATCATTTCCCAAACAAACCACAGACAGCAGCCCAACCACAGTCCACCCACGGGTCCCTGGCACTTCCTCATGATGCCCTATCAGCCCTGAGGAAACGGCAAGCGGCTGGCTGGGGGTGTGATGTGGGCGGGGTTTAGATGCGAGAATGAAAGAGCAGCGACGCTTATAAACTCCGCTGAGGACCACCCAGAAAACCAAAACAGAGAGTAATGTGTGTTTGAGAGAGAGAGGAAGAGAGAAAGACGGGATGGATGGTTTAGGGAAAGAAATTAATTACGTATCTCACAGCTTATTACCTACTGTACGTGAGTCTGTTATGGTTGTTTTGGAAAGGCATGGCCCTACGCACAAAAAAAAAAAAACATGGTATCAGGATACACCGTGCTTTGAGATACATTATGGTACTGAATGATTACCATTTAATTCAAATGTAAGCATAATTTAATTCTATGTAATCATACCAGGCCAATAAAGCATTTTCTTTTCATTTACCATGGTATTTGTGGTACTCCAAGATATTTCAAAGACAGACAGAGAGACAGACAGAGAGATAGATAGACAGACAGATAGATAGACAGATAGATAGACAGACAGAGAGACAGACAGAGAGATAGATAGACAGACAGATAGATAGACAGACAGAGAGACAGACAAACAGACAGACAGACAGACCGATAGACAGACAGATAGAAGACAGATAGATAGATAGATAGATAGATAGATAGATAGATAGATAGATAGATAGATAGATAGATAGATAGATAGATAGATAGATAGATAGATAGATAGATAGATAGATAGATAGATAGATAGATCAACTTTTGCCTGAGGCTGAGGATATGAAATGTATCTTCTTTACTTCCTGTGTGTGGATCAAGTCCTCTCTCAAACCTGTTCCCACAATCCCTCTGGGACTTTAACAGCACTCATGTTTCAGAGTCACAGAGTTCAGTCCCCTGTCCGTGGCACACATACTGTATCATATTTTTTTTATTCTTAAGAGAACGTACATGGCTTTTAACCTGTATTTGGTTTCAGATGTCACAAAAGGCCCAGTTGGGTAATATTGGGTTACTGTGCCGCGAGTGTCATTTTCAAATCTTTCTGCAGGAGTCAGTTTATGGCTTAACTGTCTTTGGCAAACAACTTTCCGTTCTTAAGGAAGAGACTCATACCAGGTAAATGCATGAACAGGTGGTCCGGGCTGAGTGGAAAATTGGAATGACTTAAAATGTAACATAAAGCTTTAAGTACACAATGATTATTCAAAAAGATTTCATGTGTGTCAGTGAAAGAGAGGAGAACAGACACTGTTGATTTAGTCTAATGGGTGAATAGACTGAGGATAGACAGATGGGCTTATGCTGGATTCAGCTGTCTGTGCGTTGTATTTCAGCATGGAGCTCAAGCTGACAAGCTGTTGCAGAAATGTACCTTCTTCTTAAAAAATCTTCTTTTGTCTTTAAACAACGAGTAAGCTGCCTACCAAGACAACATTTTTAAATATAATACAGGTGCTCCTGACATGTAGACTCTTCCAAAATGTAGACAACAACATTATTATGCCTTCTAAGATACCTTATTTTGGTCAAATTATAAATCATTGCATGTATCATTCATAGATACGGTAATGCAAAAATCATTTAAGTTGTGACAGACTAATGTAATGTACTAATCTAATGTAACATTTCTAAAGTATAGAAGAGCATAAATTAATCTACTGTCTCTTGCAATTATTTATCTCACCTTCCTCGAACCCGTCCCTGAAGGATCCCGACCGGCTCATGGTGCGGGTCTTCTCATCCAGAGACATGCAGGAGTTGCGCAGACGGGAATCACCATGGCTGTCCAGCGGGTTGTCCTGATTGGTCAGGCTGTTGTTGCGCAGGCTGGCTAGATTAATCTGAGCACCCGTGGTGGGGCTTCCTGTATAGCACAATCAAGACAAGACAAATAATAATAGTCAAAATGACATATTCATTTCTAGTATGGTCTGCTGCATGTAATATAATTTCAGACAAACCATGTTGGAAAATTAAAAAAAAAAAATTATTTAAAGCAAAGTGCACACTTAAGTCAAGCCTACAAATAATACACAATGCATTTCAGAAAAGAATACTTGAATAATCGTTATGAAAATGTTATATCCAATATTGTATATTCACAATATATGCATTTTACCAAGTTGAGCAAAGTTAAACCGCGTTCCGGATGGTGACGTCAAGCTGGAGCCGGTGGAGAAGGGAGAGTTACTGGTTGAGTCCTGCAATCCACCGGCCGAATGTGAGCGCAGCCAATCACGCGCCTCTTCTTGACGCAGCTGTGTTGAAGGGGCGTACCTGCAACAAGAGGACCATCCAATCAGATTCATTCTACTGTCACTGTTACAAACACTGTGATCTGAAACCTGACCAATCAACGTCATTTTAGTACGTGTAAAGTCATTTTATAAGTTCTAATTTCTAATATTTTATTTAAAAAATTGTATATTTACACTACTGTTCAAAAGTTTATTTCAAAGAAATTAATACTTACATTCAGCAACATTAAATTGACCGAAAGACACTAAAACATTTAGAATGTTACAAAAAATTAGATTTAGAATAAATGCTGTTCTTTTCAACTTTCTGTTAATTGTTATGAATGATTATTAATCTACGAGTCCTTAAAAATGTATAATGGTTTCCACAAATATATTAAGCAAATCAGCATATTAGAATGATTTCTGAAGGATGATGCGAGACTGAAGACTGGAGTAATGATGCTGAAAATGTTTTTTTCACTCACCAACTTTTGAACGGTAGTATATATGAAAATATATTTATGTTTTACATTTTAGAACATCTATTATTAACATTAATGTGTAATATATACTTTGCATTAAAAAAAACTTATAAATAAATAAAATATTAATGTTCATAATGTGAAGAATTATTTGGAAATCATCAATAGCTTGTAAATGGAATTACAAATAAAAGTTGGGCTAAAATTTTGATTTGCTCACACACTGCAGACAGAAAAAGTAATAAAACTGTGGGAAGAAAAAACATAAATTTCCCAAAAAAACTGCTAATTTACATATAGTACTCCATAAATAAACTCCATGAAAAAACTCTACAAAAAGTGACAAGTGCCATGCGCTCACACCGAAACTGCAACAGAAAACAGTGCTCAAAAATAAAACTGTAACCACACTGCATATTAAAACATAGAAGCATGTGCAAGAGAGAGAACAGAACAGAAAGGAGAACATGAGTGCCAGTATAATAAGCACAGTGAGCAGGATCTGCATATTCCCACAATGCACCTGTACTTGAGTCTCTATCCCTGCAGGAATCACTGAGAAACGGATGAAATGAAAACAGCGAGGGAGGAGAGGAACATGTAGAGCTTACTCAATCATGAGGGGTTGGTCCACTCCAGACAGATAATAAGGTTTAATTCAATTATAATTGAACTATTAAAGGTGATTATCCTTTGATCTGTCCTTTGAGAACTCCTAAGAGTCCAAACAAAAGCTGTTCTTGATCTATGCACATTAATCATAAAGCAAATAAACCATCTGTGTAATCAATGCTCTGGGTTTGATTGAGGAAAGTTATGAATTTTACCACTAGGTGTCGCGAGAGTAACAAGTGCTAACAAAGGTGTAATTAAAGCCCCCATGAAATGGTTTGACAATCATAGTTCTACATCATGTTCATGTGTTGGCATATTTCCTATTGAAACAGGAAGTCCCTTTTTAAATAGCCAGTAGCCTTAAGTTTACGCCACAGCCCTGCAAAACCTCACCAGACACTTCTATCAAAAACTTATTTTTGGTCCATTTGTCCAGTAGATAATTAAATAAATAAAAATTTTGGAGTTCACTAGCATTTAAATGAGACATGGACTAAGAGCCACAAAACCTAATTTACATTTGATTGCATGGGGTCTTTAAAACTTTAAAATTACGCAAACACAAAGACACAAAGCCATGTCATTATTAAAAAACAGCATAAGCGGACTCAAAAGCTATCGGACATTTTACCTGTCTTGCTTCCGGGGCAACGTGTTACGGCTGAATTTAGGACTTGCAGAGGGAGAGGACAGGGGACTTGGGGAAAGTAGAGGGGAGAGGAGAGGGTTGATAGACAAACATAGAGCATTGGAGAATAGATGAATACAGAATTACAGGCACCCCAAGAGGCTTCCACACTGCAGTCAACTTGATAAAGTGTGTTATTATGCTGAGCACTGTGATAGAACGACACATATTCAGTTTTAAATTGTAAACCTAAAGTTTGCCTATCAATATAAAGTTTATCCATCAACTGGGTTTTATACCAACAAATTAAACATTTATTTTTAAGAATAAAGAAAAAAAAAGATAAAGAAAAAAAAACTAAACTAAACTAAAACTTAAAATTATAACTATAAATGATAATTCATAAAATTACATGAGCAAGCATCAAATTACTTAGTATAAATAAAATATAAATAAAACAGAATCGTTATGGTAAACAAAAACTATTAACGAATAGTTATAAATATTTATAGTATTATTTATTTATAGTATATATTTATAGTATTATAAAAGAAATACACACACACACACACACACACACACACACACACACACACACACACACATATATATATAAGCCAATTAAAAATGTAATGAATACTATAATAGTATAAAAATAATACTGAAAAGCAATCAGTTTCCTGATTTAACAACCTAACTGAATTTAATGGATAAGAATTTTTTTTTTCAGATTCAGAATTCTGATTCTCATAGACCACATACACACTGCAAATGTCATGTCTCTTTGCTCCTGGATTCTGTACACACAGGGAAAAAAATCATATAGGAGATTTATTTCCCCATTTAAATGTGGTTACCCCCTTAAACCTTGCAGTGCAAAAGTTACTTTTCAGAATCAAGAACTGATTCTAATTCAGATTCAAAATCCAATTCAGATTAGCCCTCCAATTTCTGAATTATAATACACACTATTTCAGTGTTAACCCAGACCAGTCTCACAGATAAAAAAAGTACAAAGACTCCATTAAAGTTTCTTTCTAGTCTCTCCCACACTCACCTCTCTGACATGCCTGTCTTGGCACTACCCGTCCGCATCAGTAACGGGTGGACATCGTCGCGGTGATGCCCGCTGCCCACTGACATGTCGATAGACTCGCTGCTGGTGTGCATGCTGCTGACGGAGGGGTAGCCGAGAGCCGAAGAGCTGCTGATGGTGGTGCCCCAGGTCCCAGTGCACGTTGAGTACACCGAACCAGGGCTCGAAGCTTGTTCGCTGCCCCCTATGCTGGCGCCGCGGCCCCCGTACAGGGGACTGCTGCCGCCGCTGCCTGGTATTGTGTTGGGGGAGTCCAAGGGCCCACCGAAGGACTGGGTGTGCCCAAGGGTAGCGTGGGGGTTGGAGATGACGACGGAGTTTTTCATGCTCTCTGCAGAGGTAACCGGGGCCTGTTTAGCAGCCTTACCACCAAAAAGTCTGAGAGATGAAGAAAGAGAAACAGAGAATAAAACCAAACACTTAGTAAATCAGATAATAAGAGCAAAACAGTGAATGAGAAATCATGTATCGGTATAAGAGTAAACATAATATCCAGATTCTTTCATTTCTGAAAGAGACATGGAAGTAAATTGGAAAGGCATTTTAGTTTACACTAAGACTAACTAGTTTACTACATATACACTAGGGGTGCAACGTTCTCGGTAAAAAAATCAAACCGTACCGTTCTCCACACACGGTTCGGCATACACTAGGACCGCGGTTCAACTTAAATCTGACAATGCATCTATAATATGGTTTATTAGAGTTTGGCTAATGCATGTTTCTGTTGATGGATACAAATTCTGGCTTCCCAATACATTACAACAAGAGCGATGAGAGAGAGAAAAAAACAATACCTGGACAAACCAGTCACTCTTTAATCAATGCGAGTGCTTTATGCTGGAATAACTGTTGATAGCGCAGGTGAGACCAGAACATCACACGTTGCTATCTGTATTTAAACTAAACTCATTTAAGCCTTGCCAGTTTAAATATTAAAGAGCCAGAAGATGTGAACTTGCGCGCGCAGTGAGACGATCTGTGTGGTCGCTCATCCGAAGCAGGTGAACCCGCGTCTCAGAAGGCGCGCAAATATTAAGCTCTCTGTGAAGTATTGTGTTTGAATGGACAAATTCACACAAAAATTATGTCAAAATGCCCGTCTTGGTGAGTATCCTAGCAGACATAGTCAGCTGAACGAACAGTATCAGTGCACTGGATCAGTGCGTTCTCTTAAAGTGACAGCACTTTCCTCATGTTAATCAAACAGCAACAACACGGAAATCTCTCACTGCTCTTGACTGAATAACTTTTGTAATTTTAATAAGGATTAATCTTTAATTTATACAGTCAAATATGCAATGTTATTTTACATTTGATTTATTCAATTTCTGTACCTAAAAACTATGTTAGACCTACCTATAATTTTTTAAAAGTTTTAGGTTTTTTCACTGTTTATTTATTTGTGCTGTTACTTGTAGTTAGATTATTTGTTTATATTTTCTTTATTTATATTTGACAATATAGTTTTTTCCCTAAACATAGCACATACCGAACCGTACCGAAGCCGTGATTCTAAAACCGTGATACAAACCGAACCGTGAGTAAGTTGAACCGTTGCACCCCTAATATACACTACTGTTAAAAAATGTGGAGTTGGTAAGACTTAAGTCTCTTATGCTCACCAATTTGATCAAACATACAGTAAAACAGTATTTTTTCGGTGTTTGGAATAAAGCTGAAACAAAATAAAATATAAATATTATATGAAAAATCTGAACTTAAAATCTTTAACAAAAATGTGAAATGTTGCTTTGGCATCTATGCAAAATTTTCATTTAAGTTGTAGTACTAAAATTTCTATTAAAAAATTCAATAAAAATAAAGCTAAAATAAATAAATAGCATTGCAAAATATTTTTTTCAGTTTAAAATAAGCATTTTCAATTTTATTATAGTTTGAAATGTAATTTATTTCTGTGATAAGGTTGAATTTTTAGCAGCCATTACTCGAGTCCTCAAATAATTGTAATATGCTTTGTAATTTGTAATTGAAAAGCATTTCTTCTTATTATCAATAGCCAGGTTTCCATCCAAGGATTTTTTGCGCTTCAACATTTTTACCGATATAGCTAATGGAAATGCAATTTATCGATAAAATGTCTCATGTGTCGACACAATCTTTTTCCGTTTAACTTTAGCGCATAAAGTCTATATCGATAGTTCGAATGTCGCAAACATTTGTTTGGAAACACTTTTTGTCGAGAAAAGGGGCTTTAACGCAAATAAATGTGGTGTCACATGACAGAATTAGCCTATACACAGCGTCTGTGTTCGTGGTGTTGCTCATGTTAAAGCACCGTTTCTCTGTAGTTCAAAAGTGCATTAAATCATAGGCCTATTCATATTATTAAATTGTATCTAAAATTATTTTACATATGGTAAGAAAAAGACGAGTTACCTTTCAAACATACATATCTTAATTTGGTGTTCCTTTACGTTGCAAGTTAAAATGTATTAAACTATTTATAAATAACTATTTTAAATATTTATTTTATTTACATTCACAATAAAATAAAGTAAAATAAAGGAAACAAACAGGATGCCGCTTTCTCAAGAACGCATCACAAAAATGAAACAAATTCTGCATATAGGCTGCTACTTGTTGCACTTTTTTTGTTTCTCTTTCCTTTTTTTAATTTATTAATTATTTTGACAATATTTTGCATATAAGCCTATTTATTTATTTTATAGCTTTATGATGTTTTTCTCCTTCGCAGAAGCACTGCAGGTGCGTGATGTGAACAAGGGAATCCTCACGTTCTGTTGTTTATGCTGCTTTTTGTGTGTATAAAATTAATCACCGGAAAACAAATTTAGGTATTTTTAATGGATCACAGCCACGTTGTAATTTAACAATCTTGTCGGTTAACAGTTAATAATGGCTTAACGACCGTCGGTTGTCGGTTAAGAGAAATAAAATAACCGAAATGAACATTCCTATTTCCAATACAGTCTAATAAAAGTAAGAAAAACGTAAAGTCTGAAGAAAATAAAAAAACAACTGCACCTGTTTATGAATATTGCTTGGTGCTCAAGTATCTAAATAGTCTATAGGCCTAACTAAGCACAACAAAAAAAAACTCATGACACTTGTTAATAAAAATAATTTTATGTAAGCCTATACATTTAAATACCCTATATAATAAAGTTTAGTTTCAAATGGATGAAGAACAGGCTACTAGCCTATGTAATTTGCGCAACAGGTGAAATTATGTGTGGAAACAGCTCAAGGGCAATTTTTTTGCGATACACCAAAACTTATGCGACAATTCGTTTTTTTAGGGATGACACCAAATTATATTCATCATCACGCACACCATTTTATCGGTAAAAAGCAAGTTGGATGGAAACAGGCTGGGGACAGCAAATTTCACAACATTTTTTTATGCATATTCTCTTTGTTGATAACAAAGCATCGCAAAAATTGGATGGAAACTTGGCTTATGTCTCTTTTAACCCCGAAGCTAAAAAGAAAAACACTGTTCTATCCTTAAAAACAGTTGAAAAAGATTAAAAGCACTTTGCTCATCAATAACACGAGCAGCGCAGAGGGAAACGCGAGCCACCCTGGAGAGTCATGATCCATGACTGTCATAAAGCAGGTTATGTAAACAGCTTCAGAAAGACCCTAATCATGGAGCTGCAGGAGGTTACAAAAACTCATTCCTTCTTTCACATGTTTGGCTATGTAAGAGGGGCCAGAGAAGATGAATGGGGCCATTAATTGAGGAAGCGTCAATGGAAACTCTGATTTATGAGGGTGAAATTCTGTGTGTGGTACGTTGCCCCTGCTCCTTTCCGTACCTTCTTAATGTTGGAGACGAGACCTCACTATACTTGTTTCCCTGTCTCGCTGTCTGTGGGATAGTTGCTGCCCCTCCTCCCGAAACGATCGGATTGGTTCTCAGGTTGTCCATCTCTGAGGCCACGCCCTTCTCTTTGTCCGTCTGATTGGCTTGGATTGCGTGCCCGTTGATTTTAGTGCCAGAATCTCTCGGTTTGCTAGTCGTGACGGCAGTAAGGACGGGCGTCCGGGAGCTCAAGCTTGACTCGATGCTGCTTGTGGACGATCGGTTTCCGTTACGGGACGTGGCTCCAGAACGAGAGGGTCGCGGTAGACTTCGGTACTGCAGCGTTGAACGAGCACTGGGGGACAGGTAGCCATCTTCTTGAGGGGGCAATAAACCATCCACAGCCCCTTTTAATGATGCTCTCCCACCGACCAGAAGGGCAGAGGATTTGGGAATCTTGCCCAGGGTGGCAGAGCCACTGGTAATGGTGGCACCGCTCGCTGTCACCAGAGTGATGCTGGAGGTGGTTACCACAGTGGCCGGGCCGTGGGCGCCGTTAGGCTTCTTGAAACCGAATGTGCTTGTGGGGACTCGGCCTGCGGGCGTTTTCTTGGCTTCGTCTCCGCTGCTTCGACCGGCATCGGAGGAGGAATGCTGGACGATGTTGGAACTGGGAGACATGCGGCCTTTTTCGGAGACCTTGGCGTCATCTGTTTTACCTATCGGACAAAAGAATGTTACAGCTGGGCGAGTTGATAATGCATAAAACTTGCAGATAAAGTCAACGCTGTGTGTAGGAGGTCAATGTGACTTGGGGGGGAAATCGAAAATGCAATTTTTCTGATTTAAAATGCAAATAATAATAAAAAAAGCTCCAGGTTTGCTGTGTTTGTTTGTAGGGTTGCTCAAACTGGTCTTTTTTTTTATTGTATACCAATATGACTATATAATAATATTAATAATAACAATAATAACAATAATAAAATAATAATAATAATAATAATAATTTAATTATTATTATTACTACTACTAAATAAAATTATTAAACAAAATAAGAATTATAACTTGTAATATTTCACTGCAGCTTCACTGCAGCTTATTTAGTTTAAGCAGTTATTTAAGAAAAAAAATTAGATTATGTATTTTACAGTACAACTGATAAAAATTGTGATTAAAAATAAAAAATTTTTTACTAAAATGAAAAAAAAATATCTAGCTGTGGTTGCTTAATAATAATATTAAAAATAAATCAATAATAATAACAAACAAATGCAAAAATTTACTATTGTAAATAAGTATTTAAATAAATATTTAAGAAAATAATCTGTAAAATTAAAAAGCTAATATTTACAGTACTTTTTCCATTTTCAAACACTTAACCATCAAGCTTTTATTTTGAGTTGACAATGAGTTGAAAACAGTTGGTTTATAAGTGATTTCCATTACAAGTTTGGGAAGATGGTTGGTACTTGCAGTGCTCCCAACTGCATATTATAAGTGACTCAAACTCGAACAAATGAGGGGATATAGTTCATGTGGAGCAGCATTTACTGTGAACTGAGCTACTCTAAAGGTGATACACGGGGCAACCTTTTGAGCAATGTTGCCATCAACGGGCAACGAGGTGAGACACAGAGCCCAAAATTGATTTAAAGTATCCAGATAGAAATTTGTTGCCCATTCTCAGTGGAAAAGTGCCCAAGCAACATTGCTCAAAAAAGTTGCACCTTGAGACGCTGAAAACTCTGGACCATGAGCTGCTTGTGTGTAATAGAGCACAGTGCCATGATTCACGCTGAAACACGCAGCACGTAAATTGATTCAATCTCATTCGATTAATCGTGCAGCCGTAAATCAAATTTTCATTTGAATTTCAAGCCTAAAGACAAACATCACTGACCAGCAGCAGAGAAAATATTTTCAAAACACTTTTGGAAAGAGAACACCTACCCGTTCCTTGTGTCTTTATCATGCCGGTTCCTGTGGTTGCAGTTGTACTCTTCGTCCGCGGCGCGGTCACGCCCACCTGCGCGCTCATGCCCCTCCTCCAGGAGCCCGTCTGAGTGATGGGTGCGGTTTTCCGTCCAGAGCTGCACTTATCTGACTCCTCCGAAACATCTGAAGGGTTCCGCCGCCACTTCAGACCTGCTTCCAAACCCCCGTCTGACTTCATCTTGACCTCATCACTGGACCAAGCAGTGTTGCGTTCGGTTGCTGAATGCTTCTCTGCATCTGTCTGAGGCTACGCAAAACAATATAAACTTTCAAATCAACATTATGAATGTATCAATATTAATAAAAAGTTTAAATATTCCTTAATTTATAAGAATTAGGCACCAAATTTTAGAACAGATTTATTATATGAATATTAGCAAGTATTCAGATATTTTCCACAGTGATGTGATATAGAAATACGACAGATGGATAAATGGATAAACCGTTAATGGTATTTATTGGTATTAAGGTGACAACATTTTTAAGGGAATTAGGCTCCAAATTTTAGAATTGAGTTGTTAGTTATCAATATATTTACTTATAATTACCTGTTTAATTCTATTTTAAAAGTAACACATCTACCATAAAACAACAAACAGCACATGGCAGTAGATTTGGTGGTTTTAGAGTTTGTAGGGTTTTTTCCACCCACACTTACCATATCAATATAATTAGAAATCACAGTTCAGAGGAATGTAGAAGTGAAGCTTGAGTCAACCTATTTGTTTTAGACCGCATATTTGTTCCAATGTTTTATTGTGATGTGGCATGTCAATTGCTTGAGCTTAAATATTGACATAAGTTTCTATGCAATCAACAGCACCTATTTAGCACTTAATGAGGGTCTTAAGCAGGGGAATGTGAGAGTTGGGTTCAAGTAAACAGAAAGAGAATTGGGTTTCACGAGAAGGAAGGAAGAGGTTGGACAGACAGAGCACAGAAGAACACAACCTCTTTGTGTTTGAGATGTAGCACAAGTGATGCAGAGAAATCATTTTAATATGCTGATTTGGTGCTCAAGAAGCATTTATTATTATTATCATCAGTGTTGAAAACAGATGTGCACAGACAGAGCACAGAAGAACACAACCTCTTTGTGTTTGAGATGTAGCACAAGTGATGCAGAGAAATCATTTTAATATGCTGATTTGGTGCTCAAGAAGTCAGTGTTGAAAACAGATGTGGTGTAAGTACTTTCCAAGTACATGCCAAGTTATTCTACTAACCCAAACCCTAACCTAACAGTCTACTAATGCTCTAATGAGAGTTAATTGACATGTAGTTGCAAAGTTACTTATAGTTAGTAGAATGTCTAAAGTGGAGTTTTGGAATAAAGTGCAAACAGAAATTCACACAAGTTTAGTATGTTTGGATGCTTATGAGCTCCAAATTTCAGGTTTTACACCACTGGTCTCAAACTCAATTCCTGGAGGGCCGCAGCTCTGCACAGTTTTGCTCCAACCCTAATCAAACGCACCTGATCCAGGTAATCAAGGTCTTCAGGATTACTAGAAACTTCTAAGCAGGTGTCAAGTCAAGTCAAGTCACCTTTATTTATATAGCGCTTTTAACAATACAGATTGTGTCAAAGCAACTGAACAGCATTAATTAGGAAAATATTGTGTCAATAATGCAAAATGACAATAGTAAACACTAACTTTTCAGTTAAAGACAGTTCATTGAATTCACTGAAGTCATCATCCAGCTAAGTTCAGTTTAAATAGTATCTTTGCAATCATTTGCAATCAAGTCAACGATAATCGCTGGAAATGAAGTGTCCCCAACTAAGCAAGCCAGAGGCGACAGCGGCAAGGAACCAAAACTCCATCTGTGACAGAATGGAGGTGTGAGCTGGAGTTGGTTGGAGCTAAACTCTGCAGAGCTGTGGCCCTCCAGGAACTGAGTTTGAGACCTCCGTTTTACACAAAGGTGCATGCACAGATATGTGATATTGGATCAAAGCATTCATAAATGAATGCATAACAGTGTGTGTGTGTGTGTGTGTGTGTGTGTGTGTGTGTGTGTGTGTGCAAATGTGCGTGGATATATATATATCGGAGATCGTGCAGCTCACACATCCAGGAGAAAATAAACTTGTCAACGCTGCCCCACGACTTTTATTAATAACAGTTTAAATACTGAATCGCTACATTATAATTTCCAGCAACGAGAGGATAAAATCTTTGTTTTTGAAGTAAACTCACTCTAAAAAGAGAAACGCACAGACGCGCATACACGCAACTTTCATCTCTCTCTCTCGAATTGGTGATATTTGAGAAAAGGGTTTAACGATTTATAATTATTGGGGGGACTAGCCCCCCAGTGTGTGTGTGTGTGTGTGTGTGTGTGTGTGTGTGTGTGTGTGTGTGCAAATGTGCGTGGGTCATACCTGTCCGTTCAAAGCCTTACGGGACGCGGCGGGGGTGTTGGCATAAGAGCTTACAGAGGAGCCGGTGTTGATGTCATCAGTATCAATAGCATCACTGACCCCACTGCTGACTGAACTACTGTCATCCCAACTGAAAGACAGACAGAGACAAGAATTTTAAAAAACTTTACTAGACACTACAGTATCTGAGCCTCTGTTGTTCATTAGAGCTTTTAATATTAATGCCAAAAATGCTTACATTTATGTGTCTTTTTGTTCACTTGGGCAGCCATGTTGCCGCTGTAGCCGGTTTACGCCGAGATAATTCATACCCCTTCATTTGAAGTGTGGTCCTGAAAAATCTTTGTTTGAAGGGCTATCTGGCCCTTCTCCTACCCCTACCCCTCCAATCAAAATAGAATCGAGACACCCCTACCCCTTCACGTGAACGTGCGAAACGGAGGGGAAAGGAGAAGGGCTAAGGGGTAGAATTGGGATTGGGCCTTATTGTACATTTTTTAATCTGTTCAGGGTCATAGTGGCTAAACAGAGTTACTGATAACTGTGTTTAACACCATCCTCTCACTCCCGGGTGGCCACCATCATTCAGACCGTACTATGGCAACAAAAGAAAACACAAACAAACACACACACCAACTCAAACACACCAGCCACACAACGGTACAAGTGACCCATGTGACCTTTAACCCCTATCAGTCACAGAGGACTAGATCTATCTATCTATCTATCTATATATCATACTATCTATCTATCTATCTATATATCATACTATCTATCTATCTATCTATATATCATACTATCTATCTATCTATCTATCTATCTATCATACTATCTATCATA